AGTCGACCTTAACTGGCACTTGTTTAATAAATTAAAAATAAAGGAGAGTGACAGTCACTCTCCGGCCATGGTAGACATTGTACATATTTTATTTTGTGCCGCTAATTTTATAATCATGACTCAACTTTGTTATAATTTTTTACTGTTCAATTACATATTGCAATGACTAGATTAATTTTTAAGAATTTGTGCTTGATAAGAACCCAAACCCGTGGTCGAGACGTCGCGCGTTATATTTTTAATTTTTAATCTATTAAACAAGTGCCAGTTAAGGTCGACTAAACTGATCCATTGTTACTTATTACTGGCAACCTAAAGAGATTATCGCGTCTTCTATATTTCCCCAAAGGGATGCGTCGCGCGAAAGCGCGCAAAGCGGAAGCTGGACGCGCATGATTAGCCGCGGAGACGGTACCAGTTCCGTGTATCGTTTCCGCGAGTGACTCACATAAATTCATCGGTTCATACGGCGAACGGGCCGGCCCTCTTCCCAGAAAAAAAGAAGAGCACCGCCTGCACCGCCGGGAAGGTCCGGTACCCTTTTCTAGCGTGATTCACAGGCGCGGCGGCGGCGGCGGCGGGACTACGCTCGCGGCCAGTTTCTCGGTTTCTATGGCTATAATCTACATAATTATACTCGGGCATGGCCGTGTCCGCAACGCGAAGAAAAAGGAAACCGGGCAGGGATCATTAAACCGCGTGGCTATTATCGGTCGTAAAAGAATGCGCGGTCGATATTGTTTCAGACGAGTTCCACCGGACGAAATTCTTCATTAGTGCCGTGACCCTAAAATAAATGCGTGGGAACGCGGGTGTTGTATACGTTATACGGGCGCCTCTTCCGAAATACAATTCGATCGGCGGCCCCAGTGTCCTCCACAGTTCCACGTAAACGGCGCGGTAGTATGGGGGGGGGGGGGCGAGGGGGATGGAGGTCGTAACTCCGACGCGGTGAAATAAAGAAGCTGAATTACAATCCGGACCCACCCGACGCGAGAGACTTGGAGAGACTTACAAAGGAGAGGCTTGTGCGAGAGACTTAGGACGGCGCTTTCGAACTGTATTCACGCATGCGTTCCGAGAAGTCGCACAGTTGACGAGACCGGGCGACGGCTCGCATCGGAAACTTAGCTTTTCTCAAAAGACCCCATTCATCAATGGGTCCCCCTCCGTAAGCGGCTACATATGCCACTGTTCAGGGCTTAAATTACACCCGCCGCTTCCCGTCTCTCTCGCTCTCGCCCACGGGAAAGGAGCGGGAGGTCATGAGCTTCCAAAAGAAGCGCGTGCCATCCCGGGGAACAGATGTTTTACATCGTATAAGAACGTAGATAAGGCGCGGCTAAATTCAGCGGACCGTAAACCAAAACGACGATCCCTCCGCGCGCGGCCCTTCCCTGCATAAACATAACGTCACGGCTTCTTGCACCGGACCGGCTCTCGGATCGCTGCACCGCGCCTCCGCCGAACCGCGCCGTGGATGTTCCACGTTTGAAAACGGCCGTATTTTCTGCGAGGTAAGAAAACAAGTGCAGCCGCGTAAGCGCAGGAATGTGCATAAAGCGCGCTACTCGGCCCTCCCCGACGAGACGTCACCGGGTCGCAAAGTGCAACCAGCAGGTGTTACCTCGGACCTCCCTCTAGCGCTCACAGTTTCGGCCACGTAAACGGCCACGGAACGGCCACGTCGGGATCCCAGTGAGAAATGATTTGTCAAACCGACGTCAAACCCACGTCCGACGCCGACAGGTAACGAATATCCGCCGAGAACGACGATTTTTCGGAGAGAAAATTCTCTTGTCCCGGTCTCGGGGATATAATATTTGTATAACCCTTGGAAACTTTTGCAACTTTTAACTCCTTGAAGATCGAACTGCGAGAGGCTGGGCTACGGGAAGATGGAGAATTCTGCGGAAAATACTTGTTTCAAAGATGTTTTCGCCTCTCCCTCCCCGCTGCGTTTGCTCGTGTAAATTACCTGACATTCCTTGAACCGACTGTAACGGAGATTTTGTCCCATCGATATCGGCGGGCACGGTCCAACATTCCTATAGCCTGCGCTCGATTGTCCTCAAAAGTCAAAATGCTCGACTCCTAATCGCTCTGTCTCAGGTAAAAGTTCGTCCGAGATAAATGGGGTCTGTTCGTAATAATCTGGCATAAACTCTAAACCTTTCAACATTTGTTTCTCTATCATTCCTTTTTATCGGCGTCACTTCTCGATGAGAAATTATCGCGTTCGAGGTTTCTTCGTAAGTGCACGAACTCGCGCGGGAGGTTGAAGCGCGTTGACGCTTTCTTCGGGCGTACTGCGTCGGACTTTGAAACCGATCTCGTAAATTTCCGAACCTTTTCTCAATCGGTGTACATCTTTACTCCTTTCCTTCGGTTTTCGACTTCCCTCTCGTTCATCTCCATTTTTTTAACCGTTCTCTTTCCCCCTGCACTTGTTTTACCGGCGCAATTTTATTGCCACGCAATACGAGTATTTAGAGACAAAGTGTCAGCTTACCACTTAATGACGGCGGCTGGATTTCCGTATCTCGAAACGCAGGAAATCGTTACTTCCTGCCCCTCCTTCAGCGTTAGGGTGGCACCCAGAGCGCCCCCCGCGTATTCCAGTTGAGGTTTTCTGGGTGGTACTGGAACACGCATTTAGGGTGCATTTTAGATAAGATAGAGCGAAACAGACAGAAATGATTATGTTTGGGTTCAGTCACCCCCGTCCCCCCTCCCCTCCGTCCCCCGACAGGTTCTGCTTCCCTTCGAACGAATGGGGTTGCGTTCCGAAACGTTACCTGAGTGCCCTAGCGTTAGTCATTTTATCTTTGTTGCTCACCGCATGGTGAGACAGGGATAAAATGATGCACTGAGGCATTCGAGTGACATTTCTGAACGCAGCTTAGCAATGACCGCGATCTTATCGCGCTCTTACGGGGAACAGCTAAAGGGAGCGGATTGAGCCACTCTCGGCCAAATTTCCATTAACACGGATATTGCAAAATTACGAGAAAGTAGAGCATAACGGCCGCTTTGTGTGTTTTCTTGCATCACTCGAGGTCAATGTTCGCGGAATATTAACGATGCCTCCGAACGACCTCAGTGCACCTTAACGAAATACTCGTGACTGCGCTGGACACGCCAGTAGATTGCATAAATTATGTTAAAATATTAACGCGCGTTAATCGTGCGCGAACGATGTTCGCGGGGAAATAAATTTTTATACGCGAGCACGAGAGCGTGTTAAGTACGTTTTCATACGTAATAATATTCCTCTCTGTGTCCAGTTCTAAATATACCGCGCGAATTTAGATCATGTATGCCGTTATCTTTTTAATACAAGATTACATTCACAACACAGTTATTAATAATTATAACTTTATACAATTGTTTCATAACAGTTACTTCCCAATATTGCGCTACTATATTGTGCTACTAGGGATTATTGTCGCGTAATATTTAAATTTATTCCATGGCCAATATTGGCCGATGAATTTCTAATATAACCAGCATTGGGCCAATGTTTAGCCAATGTACCGTGCTACAAGGAAATTATATATTAGATTTATATTGGAATATTTACATTGGCCAATATTTGAACAATATAATAAGAATTTGGCCTAAAATTGATACAATATTAGACCAACATTGCTGAATATTGGCTAAATAAGAGAAAGCGTCCATCTTACAATATTGGAAATACTAGATTCGCATTATATTCCAATATTGCGCCAATATATTGTGCTACTAGGGTGTATTTACTCCTTCCTTGTTTATAAGTTGAAAAACGCGTGCGATCAACCTGAAGATACAACGTCCCATGGGGGACGAAAGGTGGACGGAAATCGGGTTCTCACCCCTCACGAGCAGCCTGGACTGCTCGGACGAGAGCGCGTCCTGTTCGGTGAAGTTGCTGGAGGTGACCTGGCACTCCCAGAAGCCGTCGTCGAAGTGCAGATCGGCGCGTCTTATCAGGAGGCTGCAGTCGCTGCTGTCGCGGCTGTTCGCCCACTCGTACTTTTTCGGGTATATGCCCACCGGCCGCCGGTCCTTCTGCCAGATGCACTGGCCGCCCTTGTCCTGCACGGTGCAACGCAGCCGCACATCGTCGCCGGTCGACACCTCCTGGTAGAGCTGCGGCTTCTCAAGGAATTGCTGCCTGCCGAGGGCGAAGGCGCGAAAGATGCAGGCGACGAGGAGCAAGCGGATCGAGCGATCGGACGTCATCTTTGTTGGACTCGCGATCGGCACGATCAATGCAGCATCTTCGTCAACTCGAGGGAAAAGAATTCGTCCGAGAGTAAGGGGCTCCGTCCTCTACGACGCGCAGGTCGAAGGATACACGGATTTGGAGAATAGCTTATGAGACCCGGGGATTTGATGCGACGTGACGAGGTTGATAATCCGATGGCTTACCAATCAGGGCGTATTAAAGTGTGTTAACGGGTCGAATATTTCTGAGGATTAGACCCGAGTGCCCATTGGAGGTTCCGTAGTTGATATTCCCAGGTGTGTTCTCGAGGCCGTCACGATCCTTCCGTCGATTTGCCGATCCTGCGGCGGGAAAAAATGGTCCGCGCGAGCGGCGACACGTGAGCGAACACGTGCGCGGATCAGGGATCGAGCGCAATTCGCGGGATACAGATCCGCGTACACCCGCGCTCATACGCTCGCCGAGTCATAGATCCCGCCCGCAGATAAACGCACCATTCTCTGCCTCAAGATTTCGCCATCGACCGTCGATCGAGGTCTAAATCACTCGTGATCGCGGAACGTTCACTCGCGAGTCTCACGTTCGGAAATCCGCTGAAGCGGCGCGAGCACGCCCGCGGCTCGCATTTTATTACCGCGCCTAACAGCGCGAAAGTCCCGCGGGGCGATCGAAATGATCGCCGCGTGCTTTCACCAGAACTATCGCCCGGTTCACGTTCGCGAAAACGATCTTGGCGGGAGAAAAACGTCAATTTTTTTTTTATAAACAAAACTTTCTTCTTCAAACGTTTTTATTTCTCTTTATTTAATAAACCGAAATCTTTTTTTATGACTGAAAACTCCGTCGCCGGTTCGCACTGCGTCGCGCGACTCGACGATCGATCCTCGATCGGTTTTGTTTCGACAAGATCCACGAGCTCCCGTCGCTGACGGGATCACAGTCGCGTAGAAGCGCGCACGATCTATCCGGTAAACACCGACTGAACGAGCCGCCTTCGAGTTCGAAGGGTCGTATCTCCACGCAAACCGACGCAGCGCTCTCTGGTGGGATCGTCGAACCGTTCCACCTACTCGAGGATCCGAGTCCTTTTTCTCTGCCTGCTGCGCTAGTATTACATTTGTCCCACGACCAATTTTTTCAGTGTGTTGGTTGGCTGCAAAATAGAAAAGTTGCGCGCGATATCACATCGATAAATATTTGGGAATCGCTCCGGGACCGACTAGTTTTCAAAGTCTGCAGGTATCCCTTAAAATTAATTAGCTACGCACTTATGTTCGCCTTTGTACGCCTATCTGAGAATGTTCAACCCTCACTTATCGATGATCAGATCGGCTGTCCGTAAAATGTTAGATTTAGAAAATTTCAAACTTTTAGAAGTATTCTTTCACGAAGTAAACTTAGATAGGAACCGACCAGTTTTCGAAGTCTGCAGGTATATCTTAAAATTAATTAGCTACGCACTTATGCTCGCCTTTGTGCTGTCTGAAAAAGATGAGATAGAGATGTTCAACCCTCACTTGTCGATAATCAGATCGACTGTCCGTAAAATGTCAGATTTCGAAAATTTAAAACTTTTAGAAGTATTCTTTCGCGAAGTAGGAACAGATATATCAATCAAACTGTTTAAATATAATTTTACATAAAATATGTTCATATATTCATGTTATATAAAATGTCTATATATTTCCTTTCTCTAATATAATTCCTGTTTGTACACAAAAGAAAAATAATAAGATAAAGAATTACAAAGTCACGTGAAAAATAATTTTCGCATCGGTTTCTTTTTGTACAAAAAGTTGACGAAACGAGAGAAATTGCTCATATGTAATCGTATATAAATGTAATAACTGTAATGAAATACGATTATGCATAGATTAGACTGGACTAGACTGTAATCGCAGTTTTACGTTTTGTAAAAAGAACGATGCAAAAGTGATCTTTCAATTATTCTTCGTATTATTTTTCTTACATACAAAGAGAAATTATACGAGAGAGAAAATATATTTTATACATAGATGAAAAAGTTTTTCACAATTCAAAAGGTTCAAAAAATTCAAAGGAGATGAAAGGAGATCTGTTTTAAAAACCCTAGTAGCACAGTGCATTGGCTAAACATTGGTCCAATGTTGGTTATATTAGAAATGCATTGGCCATTCTTGTTTCTTGTTTAGTTTTAATGAGCGTCTTACTTTAATTCTAATGTTAACATGTAAATATTGCACGATAATAATTATATAATATTAGATTTAGATTGAAAGCGCATTGGTCAATATTTAACAATGTAATAAGAATATTGGTCTAATATTGATACAATATTAAACCAATATTGCTAAATAGACATGTTGGCCAAATAAGAGAAGGCGTTTATCTTACGATATTGGAACCAATATTGAGAATACTAGATTTACATCATCTCCCAATATATTGTGCTGCTAGGAAAGTCTTTTCTCGAGAGTTTCCTTAGTCAGTAAAGATACCAGTGATTGACGTGAGTGTTAAACCCGCGATAAATTTCTTATCACCACAAAAGTTCGTAGGGTATAATTAGAGGTACTCGAGCTATTGTACCACATGGCACATGGCGGCGCAAGTTTTATGCGCAGCGGGAGAAAGTTGCGGAGACAATGCGGTATTAAAGATCCGTCTTAGCCGCAAAAATCCCGGCCGTTCGATTCCTTCGCTGAAAGAAGGAAACGCGAATCTCCTCGCGCGAAAGGGGGCTCATGTCCGAGAAGTAGCGCGACGCCGAGACGACGGAGTACGCGGCGCGGAAAGAAAGTGCGCGGCGGTAAATAGAGTGAGCGTTCAGGACGCGGAACGCCGCGAGTTAACGCGAAATTAACCCGTTAAAGATTTTTTTTACTCGGCGATAATTTGTAACACTCGTAAGACGGACTACGTAAGAGTAAAAACCGTCTAGGCGAAAATTTGACAATTACTTGCAAGTTAGAGTCAACTCGTCTAAAGCCAACGGCAGACGATACTATTTTTCCTACTGAATTGCTTACGAGAGCCAATCAGTCTTAAGTCATCTGATCTAAAGCCAACGGCACACGATACTAGTTTTCTTACTGGATTGCTTACGATTTAGAGTTTTAGATCAAGTAATCCAGTATGGAAAAATAGTATATCGTGTGCCGCTGGCTTTAAGCCAACTTACTTGTGAGAGTCAATCAGGATTTAGCTTTAAGTCACCTGATCTAAAACTCTGCATCCTTATTGGTTCTCGTAAGCAATCCAGTAGGAAAAATAGTATCGTGTGCCGTTGGCTTAAGATCCTTATGAACTATTTTTCTCTCTCGGACATAATCACGTATGGTGATCATTACAGGAACGAAATGATGAGGAATTAAAAGTAAAACAGAACTGCAAGTTAACAGTCGATTATATAATGGTACGCTTGCTGAATTGATGCTGTACGCAATTCCAGCTTGCGCGTGAGCGTCAAAATAACGCAGGACAAAGAGTGCAATGAAAGCTACGATGTTATTTAGTATTTACACTGATGCTCGCCATCGCGAACACGGTCGCGATAGTGGGTCTCGGCGGGAAAATTTATGCGGGCGATGAAATATCGCGTGCCGCATAAGCCAGAGATTTGTGGCGGTTTAATTATCGGTCGCGGGGCTGCAGAGCGTCGTACACCCGTGCAATAAATTTTTAGCGCGATAGAACCGCCGTCGCCGCCACCACCGCCGGCGTTCTACGGTGCCTCGACTCGCGTTCCACATCGCGCGTCATAGTGACCGGACTGGAAACGGAAGACGGACCCCGAACGCGCGGGCTCACGCGTGCGTATCCAACCCTGTATCCTCTGCGGGCGCTATCCTTATTATTCGAGCGTGTTATCGGAGTGCCACCGCGTGGTCATGCGCCGCGTTTCGTGTCAGGCACCGGCTTTGTTCGATCACGCATTATTACGCTTTTCGCGCAACCGATCCTCTCGCTTGAGGGCGGCTGCTAAAAGGGTTTGGAGCGGGCGAGCAAGTCATTTGAAAATGCGCCGGAGCGCTAAACGTGACGCGCGCCAATAAAAATCGCAAGTTATCCTAAACCTTTGACTCTATTTTTATAACGTCGTCTATTTCGGTCGCCTATAAAAAGCGTATAAAAGATCCGTCGGGATTCAACAACCTCCCCCACGTGGAAAATGGATTCGGTAATAACGTTTTACTTCTCTCTGAATGTGTTTGAGCGCAGGAAGAGATCACTGCGTTCTCTGCCGCAACATCGAGAAACTAACTTGGTCTTCGTTCTTTCGTTGTATTTACTAGCAGAAGATCAACCAACTTGTTCGCAAGGGTTGGGAAGTAACTCGCTACTTGCAACGAAGTTACAGTTACAGTTACTTTTTTGGTAACTCTAACTTAACTTCCTTACTTTCTCTCCCTTCGTAACTGTAACTTAACTCAGTTGCATTTTTTCGATAACTAGTAATTAATTTAATAGTTACATTATAAGAGTTACTTTATATTTTTTTTAAACCTCCACAAACGGCATCAGGCCTTGCATTTGCGCATAAACGCCTTTATCGACACTTAACCATTCAAATGCAGATTTGATATTTTTATTTTCATCGCAAGAAAGTAACGGCAAATTAACGATTCGTTACTTTCTGAGTAACTGTAACGCGTTACTTTTCAGAATTGGTAACTCGTAACTGTAACTAGTTACATATCTAGCGAAAAAAAACTGTAACTAGATACTTTTATAAAAGTAACTTTCCCAACTCCGCTCGTTCGCATATTTAGAGCACGCCGATATCAACCAACTTCGAGACGGTAGTGTTACGTCTGGGTAATATAAATTATCGACCGAGACTTCGTAACTGGACAAATCAATGTAATTATTAAATCTTGTAAATTCAAATCCTTCCCTAGTTTTCAGTCACCCTGAGTTCACCGGGTTTACTAGGGATTAGGGGGTTAGTGATCCGTCGTCTAAACCAGATACAGTAATTGCATAAGTATTCACTCACCAAAATTAGTATGGTCTTATTCTCTGTATAATATATATGTATATATTTTATTGCGAAATACTTTCCACTCCTCCCTACGGGAGAGAAATCGTGTCTCCTGTTTTCCTTACAGTAAGTTAGAATCTAGTGAATTAATAATACTTTGAAGTTCGATAAGGTCGGCGCACGTCTTAAAGGTAAAGAAGTAGAAGAGTAACTGCGCTTGGCGACGAAGACGAAGTGGTCTTGTCCGGCGTGGCGGGGGTGTTAGGGGAAATCTCGTCTCTTTGTCCCTTGGAGTGACGATCGTGGTCATCCTCTATTGTTTATTGGAGATTAGCGAGTTGGTAGAGATAAATAGCCGCCGGTGCTGTTCGAGTGGAGCTTCCTTCATCAGTCTTAGCTTATGATGCCTTCTCATAAAATATTACAATTGTGCTCTTTTACATTTAGCGGTACATATTTAAATGTTAACTTGCGTTTTAATTTAGGCAATAATTTGTTACAATAATAGTTAATGCATAAACCCGGAAAAGGGTTCGAATTAATAAGGTTTGTGAATTATATTATAATGTCGTTTTGTAGAGCACTCGCCAGTACGGCGAGCCTTTATCGTCATTGCTTGCATTCCGCGAGAGATAGGAGCACTTACTGCGCTTCAAAGCAGCGTAGCAGGATTTCTTTCGCTATAAGTATTATTAATTCTTACATCTGTAGCCCTTATAATTAATTTCTTACTTCTAATAATATTTATTAATTTCTTACTTCTAATATTTTTATGAATAGTTAAAATCGAATAATAATAAAATGATCCTTCAAACTTGCTCTGTTAGAATTAGATGGACTCGCACAAGTTCCTTTTGGTAAGAAAAGAAAATTGAATTCATTCAGACGTCACAGTAGTCGCCTCGTCTCATTTCAATACCGCGCGTTGGGAGCTGGGAATGCTGGGATTTGGCCTATTCAGTTGGCGGTAACAGATACTCGCGGCTACCGTCCGTCGATTCCAGGCTTTTCAACTCTGCCGCCACGACGCGTCGCGCGCAAGATGGCTGCATCGAGAAGCCAATTTATCCTTCGTCCTTTCGTTCTATTTACTATCGAAAGATTATAGTTGCTTTCCTTTTACATGAAAACTCAGATAAATCTCACTTGTGACGTCATAACTCAGTTGAATGCATGTTCCTTTTGATTCTTGAGAAGTGAGATTCAACCAGATTTAACTGAGTTTTCGCACACGATCAAGACCGTGTGCTTTAGTGAGTTTAATAGACTCACATTATAATGACGTCATATCTGAGTACAAAATACTCACATAACTGAGTGACTCAGTGTCACTTGAGCACCACTTGAGTATAAAAGGAAAGCAGCTTATAACTCGTTCGTATGTTTAGAGCGCGCCGATATCAACCAACTTCAAGACGGTGGTCGCCTCGTCATTTCGATAATCGATACCGCGCGTCGAGAGCTGGGAATTCTGGGAACGCTGGGATTCGGCCCGTTTCAGTCGGCAGTAACGGACGCTCGTCGCGGCTACCGTCCGTCGATTCCGGTCTTTTCAACCCGCGGTTGACTCCGGCGCCGCGACACGTCGCGCGCACAAGGAGGCTGCATCGGGAGCACGAGGCGCGCGCGCGCGCGGGTGGGGACGAGTTCGAGGGCGTCGGACAAAGGTTGGTGGTGTCGAGCGACCGGCCGGCAGCGCATTCGCGGCTCAAACATGGCAGCGGCTACCAGCGTTGTCGTGCTCGACAGGGGCAACAACACCACCTGCACCATCAATTTACACGGTGTGTTTGTGTGCGTGTGTGTGTGTGCTGGATGCGTGCGTGCGTGCATGTATATAAGCGCGCTCTGTGCGCGCGTATGTGTGCCCGCGCGCCAATTCCGCGGAGGTACGCGGCCGAGAAACCGCGGCGGGATGACTGAAAGCCCCGAGACGTTTCCGCGTGCTTTTCGCGCGTCGCGGCTTTGTCGCGTCAGCCGCTGCCGCCGCGGCGTTCCGACGCGCGCTCCTACGTGCGCGCGCGTCCCGTGTGAGTGTGCATCCTCCGGCTGTCGCGAGGCTCTCGCGACGGCCCGTTTCTTGGCGCGATTAGAAACGACGGCGCGGCGCGGCGGCCGACGGCGCTTACGTTCCGGCTGACTTCCTCACGTGCCATCGTCGCCGTCCACGCGATCGCTCCGATCGATAATCTGATCATGATTTTCCATTTTGCAGGAGCCACCGTGGTGTCCTGGCGGGTGAATAATCAGGAACAGCTGTTCGTTAGGTAAGTACACGCAGATCAGATTCCGCATGCTCTGACGCTTCGACAGACGAATCGGAGCCCACCGTCAACGTCTCTCGTCGTTTTCTCTCGCAAAATCAGTGGCAATTAATCCGTGTATCGAGTTCCTTTTAAGCTCCCTCCCCGGTCGCGGATAGTTTTTTTCAGAATCTTAAATTGTGCAACGTTTTAAAGAGAACGATAAAATTTCAACAATACGCTCGAGTTAAAATCCCGCGGTAGTTAACGTGTATACAAACGAAAATACTAAACTCAATTGATAATTGAGCTGAATGTACTGCAAATCTGATTACGAGGAGCGTTAAAAATTGCTCCCGTAAACGTTAGGCGCGTCAATTTCAATTACGGCGACAGAATTGCAATGCGACGCGGATTTTTCGTGAACCGTCCTGTACAGGTCGTAAGACGCGGTGTAGAATCGTTGAACGTTAAACGTTGACGCAAGTTGTAAGGTTGCGCGCGAGGTTACGCATCTTAGATGAGATAGAATGCATTCAGCTTGATCGCGCATTACGATGCAAAATTATAACATCGGAGGAGCATTTACATGAGTCGATCGCAGAAAAATAACGGATAAGATAATTAAGATCGTAGAGAGTTGCCAAGCGGCGTGAAGCTAATAAATTTTCCGACGTGTCGTAACTTTAGATGTTATTTCAGCTTGGCGTTTCATTAATACGACGTCTCAAAGGTTACACTCGATATTTAAGCGTTTAGGGATACTGATGTGAAATATTTTTAAGTTTCAACACGGAAACTCGGATCGAAGAGTCTCCCAACATTGTTACGTGTTATCTAACGTTATTACGCGTCGAGAGATCCCTGCGGCAATTGACAAAGAATAGTCTATACGAGTGTTAAATTCGAAAACGTGTAAATTAAAAATCTCCAACGCGCGGTTCATTTCGTTGCGACCTATTGCTCGAGACTGCAAAGCCTAATTTGTACTCTCTGCGTCTAGAAACATTCTGTCCAATAAATACGTTTAGAAACTTTGTGCAAGTTGGGAAATTGTATATCATACACGGAGAGAATTTTTTCTTAAAATTTATCCTGAAAATCATGTAATCGTGGGACAGCACGGCATTTTAAAAGATTTTATGAGAGTTTTCTGAAACTTTACCATACAATTTACTAGTAATTATATTTAGTATACATTTTACTAGTAGATTATATAGTAAATTTTGAAAAAACTCATACAGTTATTCAAAATACCAAGTCCCACAGAGATATTTTTTCTTACAATTTATCCTGAAAATTATGCGACCGTGGAGCAGCATGACATTTCGAAGAATTTTATGAGAGTTTTTGAAATTTTACCATACTTTTTTTACTAGTAATTGTACTTTGCGTACATTTTACTAGTAGAATATATATAGTTGTCTCACGATTACATAATTTTCAGGGTAAATTTTAAGAGAAAATCCTCTCCGTACACATTGTATAATCATACATTGTCGACCAAATTTTTTAAGCGTTTTGATTTGTTTATACATTGTATATAAATAAATCAATAAAATAGAATATTCCTAGGTGCAGGAAGCACAATGTAGATTCGTCTCAAGACCCGCGCTACGCTACGTTAGGGCCTGAGCAGAATGGCTAACATCTTGTGCTTTTAAGACAATGTTTTATATTTTAAGCCTTTGTCTTAAGGTGATGCACAATAACTGTCTTATGTCTTAAGAGCACAAGACAGCCATTCTGGTCAGGCCTTTAGTCGCATTACTTCTCGAGATTGACACCTAGACGAGAACAAAGTCTGTTCCACATGAGCACAGATTGCCCAACAGATTGCTTCTCTAGTGAGAAAAAAGATTGCTATCGGGTGCAAGAATGAAACAATTAAAGTATCGTTACCCGCGAGAACAATACGCGCGCAATTTCTATCTACCGTTGCAACGGCTAGCAATCGCTACAGGATTAAGGATTGAGCAAGCGAATAATGAATTATAATGTCTATCGTTGCGGATCAATGTCAAAATCCGTTTCGTTCGCGATGACTCAGAAAAACAGACCTGCCCGCCGTACGTAACCGATTCAAGGCTCTCGCCCGCGAAACGTACCGATACGCAATTCCACTCGGACCGAGTGCAAATCGTGATCCGCTCGATCGCGAGTTAATTTTTTCATCCACTTTAATTGTGTTATATTCGCGACTCTGCTGAACGCGCGTGTACTCGCGCCGTTCGGTTCGCACCGAAATATTAATATCGACTCGGCTTTTTCTCAAGCGCGGTTTTACGATTTGTCATGATGCCGCGAACGACGATTGTTTTTCATCGCGGACTGAACGCGTCAGACTATAACTCTCTGCGTTACGAACGCGATGGCAATAACGTCGAATACCTCCGCGAGGCACAAGCGGCACCTTTTTCCCTGTCGGTTTTCCTTAGCATACGCGAACGTAATTTTCCTTTGATAGGTGGTAATCTTCCTTTCCGGATTACATTGTCCACTTTGTGCATGGAACTTTCGAAAATCCACGTACCATTATATCGAGGGAAACATGGCGCAAATCCGTTTTTATATATTTTGCCTATTTTTACAATCTTCTTAGAGGGAATATATATATATCTCGTATTATCATTCTGTCGTGACAATACAACGCGCAGCACGAGAAGGAAGAGACAACGAGAGAAGGTACGTGCGCGCGCGCACACCTGCCGAGAAAGAACCGCGTAAAAGCGCGGTGCCCGTGACGATCGCTTTAAAAGCGGCAGCCCGAGAGCAGACGATGAAAAAACTGACGGAGAGCGAAGGCAAGGGCGCTCTCTGGACCAGTACATACCTTATACACGGGGTTCAGGGCCCCTCGTCGCTTGCCAGTCATCGGTCCTTCCGACTGTAAAGCCGCTGTCGAGACTGCGTGTGGGTTTTGCGATAGACCCGCGGCTATCGGGACGACGATGACAGCGTGAAAACGTGATGAAAAATCAACATTTCAGCGCGCTCTGTCAATCGGCACACACCGATCGTACTTTCGTCACAGAGGCAGACCTCGCGATTTCGACTCTGTGAAAGACACTTGCCGCGCGCGAAAGCAAGCGCGAGCTCGGTTATATATATATATTTTTTAAAGGAGACCACGTGAAACCGCAATCGCTTCTTCTCGTGCCGTTTATCGACACGTAATTCGGTTTGCGGATATAATCGCGAGTCATCGCTCGACCGCTGGCAGAACGCGGCCGCTCCGTCGTCAAGGAATTTTAACGGTTGTGAGTAACACGCGTGTACAATCGTGCGCGAGACGCTCGGCAAACACGCTCGTAATTTACTCTAATTTCCCTCGAAACGGCTATAAAAGTTACGTCGCCATGTCCGGTCGCGATACCGATCGCGATGCACCGCGCGCGAATGTACGAGGCGTATACTTTAATGACAGATGCTGCGCGTCTGCCCAGGAGAAAACGGCGGGCTTAATATCAGTTAATAACAACTGGATATATTAATGCTTGACACGTTCAACGGTTACTCAGGAAGTTGACAAGCATCAGTGAATTTTCTATCATTCTCCGGCCTTTGTAGACAGCGTACATATTTTATCTTTGTGCCTGTTAATTTTATAATCATGACTCACCTCGTTTGGATTTTTATCATTTGGCTGCATATTACATTGGCCTGATTATTTTTAAGAATGTGCCTGAGAAGGACCTAAACCCTTGGTCGAAACGTCGCACCGTATATATTTTTTATTTTATTTTATTAAACACGTGCCAGTTAGGGTCGACTAAACTTATTCATTGTTATTTATTACTGGCAACCTAAAGAGATTTTTATGTTTGAATTTCATTTTGTTTAATAAGATTTTAACTTGAGACGTTTAATTACTTATCGCCATCAAGAGTTTCACAGAGGGGGAGGAAAGTGGCTCACGGAATGATTAAGATAAAATAATTAAAAATTCTTTAGGCTCCCAGCAATAAATAACAGAAGGGAGTTTCAGTCGACCTTAACTGGCCAGTGTTTAATACAAAATAAAATAAAAATATACTGCCTGACTCTATTCTTTAATATAAAATAAGATAAAAATACAGTGCCTGACTATTCTATGTTCATTTTGTTGTTATATTTTTGAAATATAATTTGTAGTTCCACCGTATGCTCTTTTGCCTGAAAAGGCCCTAAACCAAAGGTTGAAACGTCGCGCTGTATTTTTATTTTATTTTATATTAAATACTGGTCAGTTAAGATCTGAAACTCCCTTCGACTAAGATAAACCATCGTTAAAATGTGTCTCGTGGGTACATGAGCGTAAAATCAACATAAATCTTGTATACACACTGAGAAAAAAGTTGTAAATTACTAAAACGTTTTAGATTATTAAATATGTTTAGCTGGCAGTATCTCTTTAATCCAAATATATATATTTTTTAATCAAACTATATACAGTTTATTAAAAAATATATTTTTGTAATTAACACAAATGTTTATGTGAATTAACAAGCATTCGCTTGACAGCCCGTGGCCGCGGCATACAGTTGAGTGAAGAGATATTTTCGCACTTAATTTTCTCAGTGCACAAATTACTAAACACATCGATCACGAAATCGTTAAATACGAAGTTGAGTGAGGCGCATTTCGAAGCCGAGCGATTGTACCCCGCGCAGCAACGGTAACATGAGAGGACCACGTGCAGCATGTCGATCTCTCAGTTCTTACGATCCGACCGCGGATGTGGACGTGCCCTCGTCGAACATCTGCGTCCACGACGGGGCCCAAAAACGGAAATGAAGAATCGGGGACGAAGCGGCGCGGCGGCGCGTGAACGGCGATGAGCTACAGCTGGAATTCCATTAGCGCGATAAAATAATCGGGCGAACTGCGGTTTGCCGATACCGACGATACCGTCACCGCGAAATGACAATAGGCAACATTTATGCATCGAGCTGCGACACGCGATAATTCTAAAAAAGTACAAAGTAAAAATCCGGATGCAGCGGTCAGCGCTGAGTCGTTCACTTCGGCCTGGACTTGTGGAA